ACGTAATGAGTGCAAATGAGTTCCACAAATAGGTATATAAAAAACTACTACTGTATAAGAATACTGCTGTATAATGAATAATAAACATGATACTTTTAACTTAAATAATAAATATAATAACAATTAATAGTAATTTAGAATAAATAAGAATATTCATTATAAAAATTTACGAGAATCGTAACAGCATAATGGCTTTGCTTTGATTTAGTTTATCTAACATATACTATAATTACAATTGCTAAAAAGCTAACAAACATTCTACAATGTAGAATCTACATACAGGTAATATATTAAACTTGTCCAATCTGTTATTACCGGTAGTAATAACTTATTACTAATAACTTACAGTATTAGCACTTAAATGTCTAACACTAGTGTGTATAGCAGTTGCTACTTTTCATTGTAATGGACGTTTGTACATTACTTAATCTAGATCAATTATGTAACTCCATAAAGAACTTATAACAAAATAGAAAAGGTTATAAAAAACGTGCACTTAATTTATACTCAAATTTAACTTGCAATAATATTAACACTTATTGATTGATTAATAAGTTGACAGATATTTCACTACATTTTATTACATCCCATAAGAATGTGCACTAAATATACACTTAAATTCTATTATAAGTTATAACTCACTAAAAATTAAATATTAATCTGTGCTTTTAATTTGAAAGTATATTTTAATTTATAAACGAGCAAATATTGTGATTATATGATGATCAAATTATTTTCAATTTATTTTTATATACACAATTAAGCTTTTTATTGATAAAGATATTAAAATATTGTAAGTTTGTAGTTCTTTTATATAATAAAGTTCCTTATATTTTATAATTTATAAGTTACAATTAATAAATCCTATTAATTAAAATCACTTTTATAATAATAATAAATGATTTATTTTTAATAAAATTTAATATAGTTTTGTTTAAAAATAAATTCAAAATAACATTATTTTAATAAAAATTTTATGAAAAAGTTTACAATATTTAAATTAGTGTAAAATGTTGTCGAAATTTTAATTTTATTTATTAATGAATTAAATCAAAAATAAAAATTACTTTTTGTACCCCCACGGAGCGATCGGCCCAAACAATGGCCAACTTATAAACTCCGGTGATTTCATGTATGCCTTAATCGCCGGTAAACTCTCAAAACGGGTCAACAATTGAACCAAATTCTGGTACTTATCGACGGTTTCGGGGCTAAAGAGTCGGAACCAATCCAAGAGCTCATACGCCATGAAGTCTACATAATTAATGTGATTACCGGTAAACCACTGACGGGTACCCAAAAACCGGGACAACGCGTCCAACTGTTGGGGCAGTGTTTCGGCAATGAATTTGACTTTTTCGGTCTCAAAGTCTTTGGCCAACAATATACCCATTATAAAACCATTTTTAATGTCCGCCAACTGTTGCTCCACCACATCCTGGCGTACGAGTCCGGTCTCGTCGGTGGCCACCAGTCCGTGCTTTCGGGCCAAGTGTCGCATAATGGCTGTGCTTTGGGTCACTTTTAATGATCCATCAATGTAATGAGGTAGATTGGGAAAGTCAAGGCCCAGGTTGAATTTCACTTTAACCCATTCAGCTCTAAACTCATCCAAATTTTTGGCATCACCCGTGCCGTAGTATTTGTCGGTGAAATTCACGCCCTTATACTTCAGCAACAGTCGTATGGGTTGAGCCAAACCCCGGACTTTATAATAACCTAATGTTGGAACCGATGTGTTGGACATGTTGTATATATTTGTTTATAAAATATACTTGTATAAATCACAGTTATACAGTACTTACACAACTGTAGTTATACAATGTGCTTCAATATTAGATGAGCTGGTATTTATATAACCAGAAAATCATAGCATAACGTGTTATTAATACAATTGTAAAGTTGTTGGTAACAGTATATGTATAACTCGTATTCTGTCCTTGATAATTATCTATAATTTAATATAATTAGTCTATAATAAATTACAAACCCATAAACATACTAGACTTTTAAACATATCCAATAGGGTTATAGTACAGTACTTAATCGGCCATCGCTAGTCTGAAAGTGATAAATTCAATGTCAAATTAATTATTAAAATAAAAAGTGCGAATAACAAATTTGATGTCATTTTTGTATACAAACTAACCTTAATGTAATACACGGAAATAAGTATTGAAACTAATAAATTCATACAGTATTGCAAATATATTTATTGATACAAATAAATAAACAAGTTAATAATACTTAATTTATAACCACAGGTAAATTCATGTTTAGTTATACATATTAATTTGAGCCTAAATACATACACAGCATCACAATTCAAAATTTATAAATCAAATTAAACATAAAATATGAAATTATTTAAAAAATTTATGAACTGAATGTAATTGAAAATATAATAAAAATTTCATTATATTTTGTAAACATATTTAATTGTACATAATTTTTTTTAAATGTTTTATTTGACTATTCTAATAGAATTATTCTATGCGTTATTCTCTGCATGCAGGTAGGCAAAATCTAAAAATTGTAGTACATGTATGATAATTATTTTTCTTATAAATTATTACAGAATAATTTTTCATTTTAACGTTTTTCAGATAAATGCTTTAACAATTTATTTAATTGTGCATGAATAAATAAATAATTATTTCTGAATATACACTTGATTTTGGTTGCTTAAATAATGTAAAATAATTTTTGAATATCTCTATGATATTATAACAATTACTAAAACACTTTTTATAATACGGCAACTTTATAAGTTTTGTTTTAGACGTTAAATGCATTTTGTATTTTTATTAACATTGAATTTTAATTTTATATATAATACAAACAAAACAGTACAATTAAATACAATACAATTTATACAAGATTGTAACCTTGTAATTATATAAGATGTTTATATTTACTTTTTACAACCAAATGGAGCCCCCCATGGTGCAAATAATGGCCAACTTATAAACTCCGGTGATTTCATGTATGCCTTAATCGCCGGTAAACTCTCAAAACGGGTCAAGAATTCAACCAAATTCCGGTACTTATCGACGGTCTCGGGACTGAAGAGGCGGAGCCAATCCAAGAGCTCATACGCCACGAAGTCTACATAATTAATGTGATTACCGGTAAACCACTGACGGGTACCCAAAAACCGGGACAACTCGTCCAACTGTTGGGGCAGTGTTTCGGCCAAGTATTTGACTTTCTCTGTGTCGTACACTTTGCTCATCATTAACCCATAGGTAAACCCATTGCTAATATCCATCAACTGTTGCTCCAACACATCCTGTCGTACGAGTCCGGTCTCGTCGGTGGCCACCAGTCCGTGCTTTCGGGCCAAATATCGCATAATGGCATTGCTTTGGGTTATTTTCACAGCGCCCTCCATATAGTAGGGAACGTTGGGAAAGTCGAGGCCCAGGGTGAATTTAACCTTAAACCACGGGGCCATATATTCGTCCAGTTTAGTTGTGTCCGCATTTTCATGATATTTGTCGGTGAATTTCACGCCCGCATACTTCAGCACTAGTCGTATGGGTTGAGCGTAACCACGGATCTCGTAATAGCCTAGTGTTGGCACCGATGTGTCCGACATGTTGTACAGTATATAATATATTTAATTATTGAAAATTATTTTTCACTACAAGTAAATACACTTATTTTACTTATAAGAAAACAATTGAATGAGGGGCATGGAAAACCAGCTATTTTGTATACAGTAAGTATACAAAATAGCTGGTTTTCCATGCCCCTCATTCAATTGTTATTTATTCAACCCTTGCATTGATTAGGGGTAAAGCACAACAAAACACAACTAGGTACAGTAATATACAACAGACAATATATTCAATATGGGTGTAAAATTATAGCTCAGTTAAACATGTATCAAAACATGGTATATAACTGCCATAGTTTTGGTCCTTTTATAGTATTATATAACATACAATATACAGTATAAGAGTACGTGTATTATACGTATATAGTACTGTATGTTATATAAAGTACTGTATGTTATGTAAAGAACTGTATGTTATACTGTATAAACTGTATTTACTGTTTAGTGTATTATATAATTATATAACAGAATATATTAAATATTGTATATAGAATTGTGTGACACACTTGTATAGAATAGACTATTTCTGATTCAAAGGCTTAAGTTTGCTCTAGAATAACTTGGTTTATTTGATCTAGATTAATTAAAATTATTGTCCTATTTTTATTACCGTAATAATAAAATTCTTGGTTGATCTTAATTAAAAACCTTTTTGTTTACATTTATCTAATAAGATTGTTATAATCTGATATTGTTAATAAAAATTATGCAAAGGCAATAAATGAAGTAAATTAACTTTTTAACATTAAATTTATTAAAATTCAGACATTTATTTAAAAATAATATTTTTGAGAAGATTTAGAATAAATTAAATATTTTTGACAAAAAATAAAACATTTTATTGAAACAAAATAAAATAACAATATTTTGTGATTATATACGTATGTAAATGTCATTAACATGTTTATCACTGATTTAACCTGATTAACAATAGGTCAACAATTTGTTCAAGTGTAAATCTACAGCTTTAATTCTAAAATTTTATAATCTAATTTTGGTTACAATTTTAGAGAGGGTTATAATAATTAAATACAGTTACGCCACGAATTTAGCATGTCATTGGTGGTGTGACAAAGATGTGCTAAAATTGAATTCTACATAAAATCGGGTGCAGTGACAGTACTAATATGACATGGTAGTGCTAACAAAGCTGTATGCTAAAATCGTATTCTGCCAAAATCGAGGCGTAAATGCATTATAATTTACTTTTTGAAACCCCAGTTAGCGATCGGCGCAAACAGTGGCCAACTTATAAATTCTGATGATTTCATGTATGCCTTAATCGCCGGCAAACTCTCAAAACGGGTCAACAATTGAACCAAATTCTGGTACTTATCGACGGTCTCAGGACTGAAGAGACGGAACCAATCGAGCAGTTCATACGCCAAGAAGTCTACATAATTAATGTGATTACCGGTAAACCACTGACGGGTACCCAAAAACCGGGACAAAGCGTCCAATTGTTGGGTCAGTGTTTCGGCGATATATATGACTTTTTTAGTTTCAAAGTCAGGCGCTACTACTACGCCAAAAAACCCATTTCTAATGTCGACCAACTGTTGCTCCACCATATCCTGGCGCTCGAGTCCGGTCTCGTCGGTGGCCACCAGTCCGTGCTTTCGGCCCAAGTGTCGCAAAATAGCATTACTCTGGGTTAGTTTCGTGGAACCATCAATGTAATATGGCACGTTGGGAAAGTCAAAGCCCAGGGTGAATTTCACATCAAACCAGTTACCTTTAAACGTCTCCATAGTGTTTGCGTCTGGTTTGCCGTAGTATTTGTCGGTGAAATTCACGCCCTTATACTTCAACAGCAGTCGTATGGGTTGAGCCAAAGCCCGGGTATTAAAATAGCCTAATGTGGGGACAGTTGTATCGGACATTTTATACGAGTTTGTATATTAGGTATAACTTTTATTAATCACAGTAATCAATAAACAGTTTACTTATGTTCACTTATAATTCAGTTATGTTTTTATTATACAATTCGCTGTTCTTTATATACTCTAGTTGTTGACAACTTTATAGCATGTAATGTGTAATATAATTTGTGGTATATGTTATACATTAGAAAATAAATTGTCCAAATTAGATTACAAATTAACAATGATAGTAATGTGTTTAAAAAATTCGTGCAAAAGGCTAATAAACGGCTATCACGAAATAAAAACAGTGCTACAAACAAGGCGTTTAGAAAAATGTTCCTATGCTCCATAACTTTAAAAGTAATCAAAATAATTTGATTCTGTTTGCAGATTCTATAGATTCTATAAATTCTACATGATGAATTTTGTAGAATATGTACTGTAGACATGGGTTAATGTTCCTAAAATCTGAACACAGAATCAAATTATCTTAATTAGTTTTAAAATTTTGGGGCATAAGAACTTTTTTGAACGCTCTTTTATCCATAAGTACTTATCATTAAAATAATGATAATAATATTTTGTTGCGATATGATAATATGTATGTTTAGCTCATTTAATCTAAAAATAGCATAATGTAACTAACTAAGTTAAATTAAAAGATGCATTAAACTTAAATGTATATTTTATTTGCAATCATATATACATTTATTACTTTAAATTAGAACAATGTGTACAGTATATACAGGGTTGTCATCCTATTTCGGCAATATTTCTCGATAGAATTCTACAGTATGTTAGAGCTAACAAAAAATGTCAAATTTTTAAAAATTTCTTAATAAAATCTTGAGTGTTTTAAATTGATAAGATATATAAGATATATAAAATATATAAGATTTGTGCATTATATGACAATTCAACTTATGGCTGAGAAATTAAGCCTCGAATTGTATTACTTTTTATTTTTCGCAACTTGTGACCAATACTTACCCGACGGGAATTAGAAGGTCAAACACAACTGGATTTGATACATGATATATCTGGGTATTTAGGTATATACTGTATGTAGTTAATAACTAGTCATAATAACAATAATGATAATTTACAGTTATGATAATGATAATGGTATATCATATTTATTTTATAGCTCAAGTAATTTAAAAATACAATTGTGTTACAAACTAACTAACTTACATAAAAAAATGCATTAAACTTCTAACTTATGTTTTATTTGCAATAATAAAATCTTATTTCTTCAAATTAGAACAATGTGTACATTAGTAACATTACATGTAATTTACATCAATTAACATTAATGAATATTCCGTACACATTTATTTCATTGTTTTGTATTAACTTATATGCTATGCTTATTGTAAATAAATATATACAAATTAATTATATTTTAATAGGAATATTCTTATAAAATTGTTGGAAATTATGAATAGGCAATAATGGGTAACATTAAAATTCAATGAGACAAATATACACATGCGTACATTGCATTTGCCAGGATAACAACAATATAATGAATGGGTGTTTTGCCAAGGTCACTATGTTATTTTAGTACCAACGTGTCCAGTACAAGTTTTACAATAGTGTCAGTATATAAAGTAAATACAGTTTCATTTCACCATTATTATTACAATCGTGAATTACATTATAAACAGTTTTATTAAATACTAGTTAAATTGGATACACAATTAAATTAGATATACTAGTAGTTTACTAAATGGCATCCAATATAACACACGTATTGTTTGATTTGGACGGAACTCTCATTAATTCACCTCAAATATTGTTGGATATCATCAGAGATTATGCTAAAAGTCACGGAAAAGTGTTGCCCATCGAAATTGAAGGTAAGATAAAATAAATCATGTTGATTATTAAAAAAAAATTAATAATTGTTAAATCCTATACTATACTAAAATCATCTAGCTGACGTACCAAACGTGACCGACATGGCACAGTTTATAAATAAGTTGCTACATTCGCTGAACTTGGTACTAAACGAAACCGATCTCAAACAACTATACCACGACTTTTTAACACGGTTTGTGGGGTCAACACAATTCGCACTAACACCCGGTGCCGAGCGGTTGGTGAAACACCTGCACCGACACGGCGTACACATGGCTATAGCCACGGGTAGAAAAGCTCGCGATGTGGCCCACTATAGGTCGATAATGAAGCCGTTTCTGGACGACGGGCTATATTTCAGTCACTGTGTGGCCGGCGGTGACGACCCGGACGTGACGGTCAATAAGCCGGACCCACATGTGTATCACATTTGCGCCAAACGTTTTGCGATACCTCCGAAATCCATTGATAATGTGTTGATAGTGGAGGACTCCCTCACCGGTATCACAGGTGCCGTGCAGTCAGGGATGCAGACATTGTTGATTAACGACCAAAAGTACTGCTCATTTGATACAATTGCTGAGAAGATTACTGTTATTTGCAAAACGTTTGATGATTTCCGGCCCGAATCACTCGGTTTACCCCCTTATGATAATTGATATTGGTTGTTTTTTAATTCAATTTTGTAAAATAATTTTGCTTAATCTATTTTTACATTATATATTAATAAAATTAGTATAATTTGCAATTTTAGTACAATTTACAGTATTTTTTAAACAAATTATTACAAACAATTATTAAGTACATTAAACGTCAAAATATTTAGTACATTTTATATGTTTATTCAAAAGTGGAATTAGTAATTCCGAAGTAGTATGAGATAAATTGTATAAATAATGAACTAAAATTGTACTAAATTCTATTTATGTTAATAATAAAATCTATGAAGTAATTTATAAAGTGCTATTTCATTTGTATTGTGTGATAAGAATTTATTTTGATACAAGCATACTATATAAAATTAATAATAGAAACATGTCACTAAATTCAAACTTTAATTTATTAATATTAATTAATAAAATACATTAATAAAGGCGAATTGTCTACTCTTTAAAATAACTTTAAACAAATGCTTGTTTTTCCAACTTGGTAGTTTTATAGAAATAAAGTAACTTGTATTTCTGTATTTACTTGTATATTTATTTAAATTCTGTTATTAAATTTAAATTATTCAATAAATTGTTTGTAAATTAATAATATATAGTTATAAAACATAATTTGTAAAGTATGTGTTTATTAATACCTTGTTGTTTGTATCATTTAATTTACATCATATTTAATTAAATTATTATTTAAATAATAGAATAAATTGTATTTATTTATTTTTTAAAACCCCAGATTTTTTAAATAAATCTATGTTGTGTGATTTATAACTTTTATCAATCGCTGTAGTAATGAACATAAAATTTATTTTTCATTTATAATTAAATTATGTTTTTACTATTAGATGTCCAGCTATTTATATACTCTCAATTCAGCATAATAAAAGTGTAAATTATAATTATTGTATATTCTGTATATGTCATAAATATAATATGTTTTCCGCATTATCAGCCCTTGAAAATTACTTTGATAATTAAGCCCTGAACTTGTACTTGAACTTTATCAATAATAAATTATACTTATTACATTATTGTTTTTTATATTACAGTTAGTAACATAATATGATTTACATTTTCAATTCATTAAAGTTTTGTCTACGTTATATAATATACCTGAGTGATTGAAAATTTTATTTAAGTGTTTAAGTAAAAGAGAAATTATTAGTTGTAAATATTTAATACTTATTAAATTACCATATCGGTATTAATATAAGACATTTTATATTACATGCTATAAATGTCCTACAAATAATTAATAAATAGATACCTTAACAAGATTGAACACTATTTTTTGCACCAATTATATAATTGAGAGAATAGTCAGTAAATTCTTAATGTCTAGTAATGTCTGAAGTCATTATTTATTAGAATCAATAATATTTCAAATGTCATTAATTAATAAATAAAAACAATTTAGAATAATTTTAATTTATTTATTAAAATAGTAAATCATAAAATATAAAAATACATTTAGAAACTCCATAGGGAGATATTGATGATCTAATTTATATACTCCGGTGAATTCATGTATGCCTTAATCGCCGGTAAAGTCTCAAAACGAGTCATATATTGAACCAAATTCTGGTACTTATTGACGGTTTCGGGGCTCAGGTGTCGGAAACGAAAGAGTATTTCGTACGCCAAGAAGTCTACATAAGTAATGGTATTACCGGTAAACCACTGACGGGTACCCAAAAACCGGGACAAACCGTTCAAATGTTGGGGCAGATAATTACCGACTCTTTCAGTCTCGTCGTCTTTGCTTTTCATTGCTCTAAAGTAACCACTCTTGATATCCATCAACTGTTGCTCCAACACATCCTGGCGTACGAGTCCGGTCTCGTCGGTGGCCATCAGTCCGTGCTTTCGGGCCAAGTGTCGCATAATGGCTGTGCTCTGGGATAGTTTGACCGTATCATCAATGTAATATGGTCTATTGGGAAAGTCCAGGCCCAGGGTCAATTTCTTATTAGCCCAGTCCTCCTTAATTGCTTCTTCAGATGTGGATCCCATGCTATAGTATTTGTCGGTAAACTTCACGCCCGCATACTTCAGCAACAGTCGTATGGGTTGAGCCAAACCCCGGACTTTAAAATAGCCTAGTGTTGGCACCGGTGTGTCCGACATGTTGTACAGTATATAATATATTTAATTATTTAGAATTATTTTTCACTACAAGTAAATACTTGTTTTTTACTTATAAGAAAACAATTGTTATTTATTTAACCCTTGCATTGATTAGGGGTAAAGCACAACAAAACACAAGTAAGTTTATGTAATTTACAACAGACAATCTTTTCAATATGGTTGCAAAATTACAGCACAAGTAAATTTGTATTAAAACATGTTATATAACTGCTATAGTTTTGGGCTCTTTTATACTATATAACACACAGAATACACAGTAGAGTATGTTATATATAGTACGGTATGTTATATAAAGTACTTCATGTTATACTGTATATACTGTAGTGTTTATAATATAATTATATAACAGAATAATATTGAATATTGTATATAAAGAATTATTTATTTATAATTAGAATTATTTATAATTAATTAAACAAATTTTTAGCAAATATTTCTTAAATAATTTATCATTAATATTTTATAATAGCCTACTATCGAACATAACTTATTTTGTGTGTTTGTATATAATGTTATCTATAGTTTATATCTGTAGTTTATAATCAACAATATTTTTAAATGTCATAAATTAATAATTAATTAACAATATCAAATAATTTTGCTTAATTTATTAAAGTATTAAATCATAAAGTATAAAGTTACATTGAGAAACCATATAAAGAGGCATAGATGATCTAATTTATATACTCCGATGAACTCATATATGCCTTAATCGCCGGCAAACTTTCAAAACGGTTATACAATTGAACCAAATTCTGGTGCTTATCAACGGCTTCGGCGCTCAGTTGTCGGAAACGAAAGAGTATTTCATACGCCAAGAAGTCTACATAATTAATGTGATTACCGGTAAACCAATAACGGGTACCCAAAAACCGGGACAAACTGTCCAACTGTTGGGGCAGTGTTTCGGCGGTGTATTTGACTTTTTCAGTCTCGACGTCTTTGCTGTGCATTACTTTAATGTAACCACTCTTGATGTCCGCCAACTGTTGCTCAAACACGTCCTGTCGTGTGAGTCCGGTCTCGTCGGTGGCCACCAGTCCGTGCTTTCGGGCCAAGTGTCGCATAATGGCTGTGCTCTGAGTCAGTTTGACTGATCCATCGATATAATACGGTCTATTGGGAAAGTCAAGGCCCAGGGTCAATTTCTTATTAGCCCAGTCCTCCTTAATTGCCTCTTCAGAAGTGGATCCCATGCTATAGTATTTGTCGGTGAATTTCACGCCCGCATACTTCAGCAACAGTCGTATGGGTTGAGCCAAACCCCGGACCTTAAAGTAGCCTAATGTGGGAACAGTTGTGTCGGACATGTTGTATATGTTTTGTATATCACTCTTATTAATAACACTGTTATAGTTAATAAGAAACTTATTATTAAGTTATGTTTTTACTAAAGGAGACACTGGTATTTATATACTTTACAAATAAAATTCTCACGTAGTCTACAGTAAATATTCGTATTAATGATAACTGTTGTTAACACTGCAATATACAAAGTGGTGGCTGTCCTTGATGAAGTACTATTTACCCACACTTATCTACAAACCGGCTAATCAACCATAGCCTTTACTGTGCAGTATGAAAAGTACACTGTATACACACTGAAATTGCACTACAATTGTGCACTAGAATTGCACTAACTTTATGACTCAATTCATGTATCATATAAGTTATGTGACATAACATACACATAAAATGTAATTTGTGGTAATTTTTACCTTTATTATCCCAAACAAACAAAGTAAAATATGTTGTTGTAAAATATCACTTGTTTGTAAATATCTATATCTAAATTAAATATAATTAGACCATACAGTAGTTGTGAGTACAATTTTAGACAAATTGTGTTTACTTCAATAAAACTTTTAATTAATAAAATAAATATGCTGTGTAATTTTTTCCATTGTATAGTAAATAATTATTAATCAATAACAAGGAATATAACATTTCTTAATGCTATTTATTTATTTCATTTAAAATTAATGATGCATAAATGTAAATTTATTTATTGAAACCCCACTGAGAGGTTGGCCCCGTGAATGGCCAACTTATAAACTCCGGTGATTTCATGTATGCCTTAATCGCCGGTAAACTCTCAAAACGGGTCAACAATTGAACCAAATTCTGGTACTTATCGACGGTCTCAGGACTGAAGACACGGAAACGATCAATCAGTTCGTACGCCAAGAAATCTACATAATTAATGTGATTACCGGTAAACCACTGACGGGTACCCAAAAACCGGGACAACGCGTCCAACTGTTGGGGCAGAGTTTCGGCAATATATTTGTTTTTTTCAGTCTCAAAGTCTTTATCGCACAATAAGTTACCAAACGGTGCCCTAATGTCCACCACCTGTTGCTCCAACACATCCTGTCGTGTGAGTCCGGTCTCGTCGGTGGCCACCAGTCCGTGCTTTCGGGCCAAGTGTCGCATAATGGCTATACTATGGGTCAGTTTTACAGCACCATCAATGTAATATGGTACGTTGGGAAAGTCTAGGCCTAGGGTGAATCTTTGTTTGTACCAATCACCTTTAAGCATTTCTTCAGTAGTACCTCCGTAACAGTTGTCGTAGTATTTATCGGTGAATTTTACGTTCGCATACTTGAGCATAAGCCGTATGGACTGACCCCTACCCCGGGTCTTATAATAGCCTACTGTCGGGACAGTAGTGTTGGACATGTCGTATATTTTGTATATTACTTATAGTTTTTCTTAACAACAGATATTGTGATAAACAAATTATTTTCACTTATAATTAATATGCTCTTTATTGTGATCGCAGATTAAACAGTGCTATTTAGCATACAGTTGTTGGTTACCGTATATTTGGTGTATTAATGTCTGCACTTGGTTAAATACAATTAACAGAAATTAATCAATATACCGGCAATAATCATACTAGCCTCATAAAATAATAAAAACAATCTGGTTTGGCACATATTAACATAAATAATGTTGTTTAATTAAAAATATTCTGCATGCTTAAACTTTGATATGTGTAATGTTATATAATAGATAAAAATATAATCATTTTATAAAAATTAAACTAAAAATAATTTGCAAATATAATTTATTATTTCAAATACAGATTTTGTTGTATTAGTATTTGTTTAATAAGTCATGTTAATCATACTGAACAAATCATATTATCAATCAACAATATTAATTATTTAATTCTAACTTATTAATCTAATAATGTGCAAACAATTATTTCATTGCAACATTTATTATCAATATAAAAATTCTTATTATTTAAATTAATTAATCTGCAATTAATTGTTTATTTTGTAACAATGTCCAATCAATGTATTAGTGATGGATATTATATAAAATAATGAATTATTTGTAATAACATTAATTTTATTGATATTAAAACATTTACAGAATTAATAAAATTTACTTTTTGCAATCCCACGGAGCGATCGGTGCAAACAGTGGCCAACTTATAAACTCCGGTGATTTCATGTATGCCTTAATCGCCGGAAAACTCTTAAAACGGGTCAACAATTGAACCAAATTATTGTTGATATTTATATTAAATTTTGTAATAAATTTTGTAATAAATTTTGTAATAAATTTTGTAATATATTTTGTAATAAATTTTGTAATAAATTTTGTATAACGTTTGTTTCAATTGTGGTTACAATAGTGCTCACAGATAGTTAGTACAGGTAATATTAATTTCATAAATGAACAGTTACAAACATAATAAAACAAATCATTTAGGCTATAGAATTAAAGAGAATTACTTTCAATTAACTAAATTCCTTGTAAAATATTTAACCACAATTAATATATAAATAATGTGGTTTAAAAAATAGTTTAGCCCCATCCCCTATATTTGTTAAATTATAAGTGTATATCTGTTCACTTTTTAATTCATGTGACTTATTTGAATATTATAATGTTTATACTGTATTCAATCTGCTTAATTAAACATGGTTACATTTTACAATAATTCACAATTATTTATTATTACTGAATAAAGTTAATGATAAGGATATAATTGGAAATAACGGCAGAAGCATAAAATGCAAACTCAAGTGAACTCATTGGGAATAAGTCTAGACATGAAAAGCAGATATCGTGTGAACACAACCTCTCTATGAATGCCAAAAGTTTGATACGATTTCGGACTGAAATTCTCCGGTATTTCAGATATCCATACAAAAGGGGTAGATATGCGAAGGTGTTGTGAATCGAGTTACAAGTTATTATACAGTATAAACATTTTAGTATAACTTAAACAATTATATTTATTATAATATTTATTTATTTATAATTTATTAAATAAAAATCGGCAAATCTGTAATGAGGACATAGGTTAGCTAATATTAAGAATTTATTTTACAAATTAAGTCCTATTATTGGTGTTAAGAATTTATATAATATAATGTAAAGACTGACTATATATAATTTTAAATTATTAATTATTTTTAATTATTAATTTATACATGATATAAACACTGATTCTTAGATATCCAAACTAATTCTAAACTAAATGTATATTTTTTATTATAATAATTATTAATTTTTTTGTATATCTATTCTTGATTGAATAATCATTGAATATTAGTTTAATAAACTCATTTAACTTAATTCATTTACTCATTTATTTACAATTAAGCAAACATCAATCAAATCAATTAATTAAAAAGATTTTTAAAAACATTTATTTAATTATTTTGGGATTTAGGTATTTAACATAAAATATAAATTTATCGTCTGAAACCCCACGGATAGGCCGGTCCAGCGATTGGCCAACTGATAAACTCCGGTGATTTCATGTATGCCTTAATCGTCGGTAAACTCTCAAAACGGGTCAACAATTGAACCAAATTCTGGTACTTATCAACAATATCGGGACTGAAGAGACGGAAACGATCCAACTGTTCGTACGCCAAGAAGTCTACATAAGTAATGTGATTACCGGTAAACCACTGACGGGTACCCAAAAACCGGGACAACTCGTCCAACTGTGGGGTCAGTGTTTTGGCAATATATTTAACTTTTTCAATCTCATAGTCGTTGCTTCGCAATAAAATAGCGTAACCGCTTCCAATGTCCGCCAACTGTTGCTCCAACACATCCTGTCGTGTGAGTCCGGTCTCGTCGGTGGCCACCAGTCCGTGCTTTCGGGCCAAGTGTCGCATAATGGCTGTACTCTGTGTGAGTTTAAGCTCACCGTCCATATAGTATGGTACGTTTGGAAAATCGAGGCCCAGGGTAAATTTTACTTTAAACCAATCACCTTTAAACGCTTCCAAATTATTAGCGCCCGGTCTGTCGTAATATTTGTCGATGAATTTGACGCCCGCATAGTTCAGCAGTAGTCGTATGGGTTGACCAAAACCCCGGGCTTTATAATAGGCTAATATGGGGAAAGTTGTGGCAGACATGTTGTATATAATATTAATGTATAACTTTAATTAGTTATAATACTGTAATAGTAAATTGGAAAATGATTTTCAATACAATTAACGCTTGTATTTATAGTCGCATAGAATATTACACATACACTAAATAGTTTTATCAATGACATCTATTATTAATTGTATACGATATGTAATCCATCTGTCCTTAATTTGTCCTTGATCAGTATTTTTGATCGAGACAATTCTATATTTAAGACGTAAGCAATGTTGATAGAAATGTGCACTAAAACTGGACTTAAAATATATAATTTACAATTAGTTAAATTACATTATTTAAACTAAAACTGATTACTTATAATCAGTTTGTACATTTACAATATATTAGCGAATTAATATGTTATTTGTTTCCAGAGAATTATTTAAGTAATAAATCAAAGACAGGCATATTACATAACATATACCGTACAGGTAATAGCTGCCATTATCAATTTAATTATTTATTGTACGTGGAAATTAATTAAATTGCAATATGTTTTATTTTCTTATTTACTATAACAGCATTGTGATTAATACAAATTAGATATTACTATTATATACAACATGTCCGACACAACTGTTCCCACATTAGGTTATTTTAAGGCCCGGGGTGTGAGTCAACCCATACGACTATTGCTGAAGTATAAGGGCGTGGATTTTATCGACAAACACTATGACAGTCCGGGCGCTGATACTGACGAAGCGTTTAAAGGTAATTGGGTAAAAGCTAAATTCACCCTGGGTCTCGACTTTCCCAACGTACCATATTACATCGATGGTGAAGTAAAACTAACAAAGAGTACAGTCATTATGCGATATGTGGCCCGAAAGCACGGACTGATGGCCACCGACGAGACCGGACTCACACGACAGGATGTGTTGGAGCAACAGTTGATGGATATCAGGAGCGGATACTCAAACCTATTGCAAAGCAAAGACTATGAGACCGAAAAGATTAAATATGTGGCCAAAACACTGCCCCAACAGTTGGACAGTTTGTGCCGGTTTTTGGGTACCCGTCAGTGGTTTACCGGTAATCACATTAATTATGTAGACTTTATAGTCTATGAACAGATAGATGTTTTCCGTCTTCTCAGTCTCGAGACCGTCAATAAATACCAGAATTTGGTTCAATTCTTAACCCGTTTTGAGAGTTTACCGGCGATTAAGGCATATATGAAATCACCGGAGTTTATAAGTTGGCCAATCACTGGACCTGCCTTTCCCTGGGGTTTCAAGAAATTAATTTATATTTATCCTTCAATATCTTAATCCTAAAATAACTAAATAAAATTATCAAAAAATTGTTGTTTTTGATTAATTGTTATTTAATGCAAATTAAAAAATATTTTATGTAAAACAGTAAATACAATTAGTAAAATAATTATTTATAAAATAATTTGATTATAAAATCAGTTTGATTAATTATTTATTATAATTACTTTTATCATTACATTTAATATTAAAGCAATCATAAAAATTAAAATAAATTTTTTGAAACCAACGAAGCTAATTTAAAAAATAATATTTAAATTTTAATCTAAATACAATGATTTAAATGTTATAATAATTTTAATTTTAACATTAATAAAGAATTTAAATATAAATTAATTTCTGTAATCAAACTGAATGTATGGCCCAAAGGGTGTGCGTATAAACTCCGGTGACTTCATGTATGCCTTAATTGCAGGCAAACTCTCAAAACGGTTCATATATTGAACAAAGTTCTGGTACTTATTGAAAGTACTGGCGCTAAACTCCCGGATCCAATCAAGTAGTTCATAGCCCATAAAGTCTACATAATTAATGTGATTACCGGTAAACCACTGACGGGTACCCAAAAACCGGGACAACTCATCCAATTGTTGGGGCAGTGTTTCGGCCAAGTATTTAATTTTAAGTGTTTCATAGTCTTTGTCAAACAATAGGCCATTTGCTAACCCATACAATATTTCCGCCAACTGTTGCTCCAACACATCCTGTCGTGTGAGTCCGGTCTCGTCGGTGGCCACCAGTCCGTGCTTTCGGACCACGTGTCGCATAATGGCATGGCTTTGTGTTAATTTAACTGATCCATCAATATAATACGGTACGTTGGGAAATTCTAAGCCCAGGGTGAATTTCTCCTTAAACCATACTGCATGAAAATCTGCCACAGTATCGGTGTCTGGTTTGCCGTAGTATTTGTCAGTAAATTTTACTCCCGCATACTTCAGCAACAGTCGTATGGGTTGAGCCCTACCCCGGATGGGATAGTAACCAACGGTTGGCAGCGATGTATTGGACATGTTTTGCAGAATATGTACAACTTTTAGTTATTACTACAATA